GATTCACTTCCCTCACCAGGGCAGAAAGTTTCCCCGATGCCTGAGGCGTGTTTCTATCCAGGAGCATCGAAGAAAGCTCTTGAGGCACATGTCTTTCCGGTAGAAAGCATCCCTAGGGGGGATCTTGCTGCAGCATCTAGAGAGGCTCTCAGTATTGAACGCAAAGCAGGTCTGGCCCATGGTGAGGACAACCAGTCTGCATCAGAGGGCAACCATGATGTCACCAAGCTGAAGCCCTCTGAAAGCATCTACCAAGTGGAAGCAGAAGCAGAAGCTTGTGCGCTTAGGGAGGGGGAAATCCCACAGTTGCAACAAGAAGCAGCTAAACTTTCAAATAGTTTGCAGACAGATGTGGATAGCCAACATGTTCCCTTGGCAGAGGAGGCAGGGAGCATCTTCGAGACTGTGGGAAAACAGACACCCAGAAAGAGACCTGCAGCTCACGTATCAGAGAAGCCAGTCAGTCGTGTTCCTCTCTTAAAAGGTGTGTGCCTCATTTCCCTGCCCCAAGCCCGTGTCTCCAGTGACTTGATCAAGGCAAGGCTGCTCAAACCACTCCTGAGCTTACAGGCAATCCCTGAATCCTGCTGCTTGAAAAACCTCGGAGGATGTTCACTATGAACAAACCAAGAGAGTGTGGCTGCTTCCCCCCCTTAGTTTAGTCCTGGCCTCTGGTGCTTGGGTGCGTCTGCTGCTCACTCATGCTTCTGTTGCACGTTCTCTTGCATGGATGCTGACACCCCCTCCCCTCATCATGCTTATTCTCCCTTTCTATTTCAATATCCTTGGATTTTATCCAAGCTGCTGGGCAGGCACTGAGATGCCAGACCTCACTCGACACATTCATATGAGAGAAGATGGTTTAACTGAGACTTGCTTGGGTAGTAGCCTTGCTTGAGTAATGTCAATACAGAAGGGGTTGTTGCATTACAACTGTCGCAAATAAAGCATATGCAGTCTCGGGTATGTTTTACCAATACCCAGACCTCCCAGCCAGTCCTTCATATCAACTTTTTCAAAGGTGGGAAGGGAGGAGGAGTACAGCAGGTGCCCTTGGTTTCCAAGCTTAGTTTTACTTGCGTCACTAGAAAAATTTAAGAAGATGCCTGAGTTTTGAGTATTACACTGCCAGGGTGTGCTATAGCTTGCTTTGGTTATGTCCAAAGCCATCTGTACTGAGAAGCACTGCCCCTTTAAATGCTGATCTGTTAGTAGTGCAGCTTGATCATTTTAACTTCTAGATGTCAGAGTTCATGCAGTAATCTCAGCCATGAATATCAGGGGCAGGAATCTAAATTTAACCCCATAGAGCCCAAATGCCTTTCTTAGTATCAGGCGTTTTTTTTCCATATTAGAACTAGCCCTCCTTTTACTAGAGACCCACAATCATCATGAGACCATGGGATATTCTGACCAATGGTCAATGTTATACTTTGTCTCAATCAACAGTTGCATTGAGGTACACGTGGAAATCCATTTACCCACTTGACTGTTATTTTGTGTGTCATGTCTGTGTGTGTGTGTGTGTGTATATTGGAAAGGGAAACATAAATCCTTTTGGGGCCAGTCCAGACCATGGGTCTGCTGCTCTTTTATGTATGCTTCCCAAGAGCCTTTTGCTCATGAGCACTTCCTGTTGAAAATCACATTTAAATGCTGGTAGCCTTCTTATACTACTTGCAATTCCTAAACGCTGTCTTGGCAGGTCTAGCCTGGGCAGTTTTTCTGAAAATTCAGCTCATAGTCTTTTTCACTACCTGAAGAAAACTGCATGAAGCACTGGGTTGCAACAATAAGCTAAACCACTGCTCCCCATTACCATACAGGGTAGGTAGTGAAGGTCAGAAGCTGTTCTCAATGCAGCTTTTTCCATTAGAGTCAAAGCCCATCACACATAACTCACTTGCAATTATGTAACACAAACATAAAAAGCTTCTGACAGGTGTGGATGTTACCACTAGCACCTATGAGGTAATGGGTAGAAAGGCACCACATTTGTCTCTAAAATGGAGTGGATGGTGTTTTAGATGTGATGTACTTTGTCACCAGTGTCTTATTTAGTAGCAGGGGTGTAGCTGGTCTAAAAGATACCAGATTTAGCCAAAGAACCTTGTCTGATTTAGTGTCAGGAAGGGAACAAGTTTAAGCATTTCTCGCTTCAAACAGAAAATCTTTGTTTTTACCTCTGCTCTCTAGCACCATTGCGCAAGGCACTTTCACTGTTCTGGGTAAGCAAAGGACATAGAGTGACTTTAGGACATAGAATGGTGTGAAGGTTCAGGGTGATCGTTAGATCTGTGCTGGTGAATGTCCTTGTTGATTTCTTTGGCGTTTACCAATATGCTAGAACAAATTCCCAAAGCTGGGGCGGTGGGGTGCAAATGTCAGCTGTTTTTCCTTCAGATTAGGGAGGAGCTTTGTTACTGATTGGAAAAAACAGACTTGGTAATTAGCACTATAACTGACTACAGATTTTACACTCTGGTTCTAAACTCTTTATTTCTGGTTCTGTGGTGCTTATTGTAGTTTGTGGACTAATAGAGCAAAATAATGGGGTGTCCTGCGCAGTCCTTCTGGCTCTGCATGAATCGTGTTTAAACGGCTTTCGTTTGGGCTAGAAAAGGTCTCGAGGGATCTTGCAGGTCCTAAACAGAACCATTAGAAATGAGAGACGTGAGCAAGGCAGAAAAGTGCATTGAGAGATGAAAAATGAAAACCGATTTGAATAAAATTGCTTTGCAAAGTAACAGTGACCCATGATTTTGAAATAAGAGTAGACAGTTCAATTATTTAAGGTGTTCGTATAGCCCTAGTTAAGTCTGAAATTCATAATTTGTAGTCTTCATGCCTAGTGCTAAAAATATTACCTGCTTTTGTTTTTGAAAGCAGAGGGAGTAGACTTTTTGGCTGAGAAGGGAGCTTTTTTTTCTAAACTAGATAAATACCTTCTAGGCAAGAATGGCCTGGGACAAAACCTGCTGCATGCTTCCAGTGCTCCAATAGATACTCTAATGCATCATCTCCTGTATTGAGACTAATCTGTAACATGGCAAGAATACCCAAAGAGTGGAAGTCACTTTGCAAGAACTGTATTTTTTTTGATAGATGACAATTTAACTTAACTGAGAGCAAAAACATACCTTAATGCATGTGAATATAACACAGGTGTTATCTATTTGGAATCTATTTAAGATCCCCAAGAACTTGAAATCTGTGTTTTATTTGCATTTCATCAGCTCGTGTTGATGGTAAAGACAAAGACGGGACTGCTGAACAGAAAAAACCTAAGGTAAGCTGACAAATATATGAAATAACAATGTAAAACCACTAACCTCCTGTATGTTCTTGACTTTCTCTATCCAGCAGTTGCTGACATACTCCATAAGCTTGTTATGAAACCTTGCCATTTATTTTACAGTTTTCATTTCCTTTGTGCTTTTGTTTTCATCTCCCCCTCACTTACTGTTAAAGGTGCAGCCCTTTTAAACTATGAACTCAGTGGCTTTTAGCATTCAGCTGCTTTTCTTGCTCAGAGATGAACCCTGAGTATTTAGAGTAATGGTTCTCTGAGAGTTGAACTCTAGGCTTCTGATCAGGGTTTGTGTTAGCTGCATGGATGCAAAACTAGGTGAAATCTACTTGCAGCTTTAGGGCCTTGATTTCCAAGTTGTGCAGCTCTGCACCAACTCCCCACACTGGGAACTAAAAGTAAAGAAAAAAAAGATTGAAGCAGGACATGTGTTCCTAGTGACAATATAAAAACAACTGTCTGTATCTGCCAGCATGGTGTGATTAAATTATACCAAGTCTAATACTTTGTAAATTCCAGAAGACTTTTTGAAAGTGCTGATATTAAGGTGATATTTAAAAGTAAGTTGAGCTGCCTTCCTATAGGTCGGTTTGCCTCGCAACAATTCTAGACAAATAATGGAAAAATGGATACAGGATTTAATTAATAAAGAATTTAAGGAATAGGACAGCCTACATGGAAAGTGGGTTTTGTCAAATCTAATTTAATTCTTTTGAAGAGGCTGCAAGTTGGGTTGATAAAACTAATCTGTGTGTAAAAATAATTAGGCTTTTGTAAAGCCTAACATTCAATTCTGATTCAAAGGTAGCACTGCACAGGGTGAACAAAAGCCTATGTTGAATGTGTTGAACTGTAATTTGACAGACCTTGAAGTAGTGCTTAGAGGGAAATATCATGAAAAGGGGGTGTTTCTAGTGAGGGTTCCCAGGGACTAGTACCAGGCTTGACTCTGATCAACCTTTGCTTCAGTGATCTGGAAGTAAATATAAAATCACTATTTATAAAATTTTCTGAAGACATAAAACTTGGTGAAACAGGAAATAATGAGGAGGATGGGCTGTCACACCTAGAGAGTGCAGGCATATGGTGAGCTGGGGCCATTTAAAAATTAAAAAATAAAGGTGTGTTCATGTAGCCATGGAAAATGCATACATATCGGTGCAAGGAACGCAGGTCAGATGAACAGAATGGGGGCATGAATATTCTGAAAAGAAGTGACTGAAAAAGATGTAGGGCTCATAGCAGGTCATCACTCCAGAAAGCTTTTGTAATCCTGGATTTAGACATCCAAGGAGTTCTGAGTAGGAGTAAGGAGGTGATTGCAGCTCTAGATGCAGTATTGGGTATGGCTGATTTTATTGGAAAATCATATAACATTCTTGCATCCATGCATTGAAAAGGATGTTGAAAAATTGGACAGGAAGATTTGGAAGAAGGCCACAAGGTGCTTTGATGGCTGGAGAAACAAATGCCTCAGAGTATGAGGCTTAAAGAGCTTGATTTGTTCAATAGATTGAGAGGTGATTTGATTGCAATGTCTAAGTACCTTCATGGGGAGAAGAGAATTCTTGGTCCTAAAAGGCTCTTCAGATCGGTGGAGAAAGGCAGCAGCTGGTAGCTGAAACCTGATAAATACAAATGGGAAGTAAGGCACTTTTAGCAGAGTGACTAAACCTGGGAGCAAGATAGCAAGGGAAGTGGTGGCTGCTGCAGCTCTTTTCTTCAAGTAAAGACTGGATACTTTTCTGGGAGCCATATTTAAGCCAAAAAGGAGTGAGCTGTGTGTGTGCAGTACAAGAGAAACTGGGGGAAATTCTGTGGCCTGTGATATCAGGAAGCCAGGGTAGACAGTTCCATGATCTTTTCTAACGTCCAGCTCTGTAAATCTTGGGAAGGATGTCCCACTTAATGGCAAGAACTTTTAAAACCAAAACTTCAAGTAGCAGCTAATTGGAAGGGTGTTTGTCCTGCAAAAATGCTGCTTGGTGCTTCCTCTGAAATATGTTAAACTACTAGAGGACTGTGCGTGCTTAGCAGGTAGGACTGTTACACCTGGGGAAGCATGTGCACCAGGAGAGCTGCCTGCTCCAAATTCCTTTGTGTTTTCTGAATTCTAATTGCTATTAGGAGAGCCATGTTTTTTGTACCATCATGGCTCCCAGTGGGAGCTGCAGGGCATGTTAGCAAATGTGGTCCCAACTGTGTGTACTGCACTCCCCAACAATCCAGCACTAGGCTGTCTGACTTCTCTCAAAACAGCTGCTTTTGTGCCCAGGGCATGCCTGATGTTGAAGGACTGAGGGATGAGTTTGGACATCTACTGTTCCCTGAACGCGAGAGGTTAAGTATTGAGGGAGATGTCGCCTTGGCAGCACAGAGCTGGGAGCAGATTATTATACTGTTATTAATAACCAACCTGGCTAGTTTAAATCTGGCTCTGGCACACCTGCGTGAGCTGCAGTCTGACTGCAGTGTGGACCTAACAGACTCCTTTCCATGCGAGGCATTGCACCTTTGAGCTCCTTGCCATTCTTATTTAATTTTAACCATTGTCCCCTCAGTCATTTTTTTTTCCTCATGCTGATTTTTTTTCTTAATTTTATTTTGTTTACATGTTTTAAGACATCCACACCTTCCTCTGTCAGCACCCTGAAAGATAGACCCTCCATTATCCCCAAACGACCCTCCTCTGTTAGTACAATCCCTTTGAAAATACCCTCCAGCCCTGCTGAGTCCTCAGTACCAGCTTCCAGTCCTAAACGAGTCTCTTCTGTCACATCCCGACTCGCCAGTACAGGAATGAAAGAAACAAAGCCCAAGGTAAGAAAATGGGTGATAAGGGAAGCAACGCAGCATTTAAAACTAACTGAATTGCTGATTCCTGATGGAATCTTTCCCCCTCCCAGGTCTGGTGGTATTTAATTAGCTCAGCATCTCTCTCCACAGTGTGGTGCTAGCTAGATGCCTGTGCAATCTCTTGCTTACTTCACATTAATAAAAGAGGTGGTGGGTGGGGCAGAAAATCCCTCCAACCAAGATTGTAAATGGCTAGTCAGGAATGGCTAAATAACCGTTCCAACTTGTTTTACAGATGGTCAAAAAATGTAAAACCCAGGTCTTTACAATAGGTGTTTTTCAAAAAGTAATAATAAAAAGTAGCAATATTGCCAGGAATCCTCTTCTGTCCTTGGTAGCAGAGAGGGCTTCACAGTACTCCTGAGGGGAATTTTGTATTTTTAGTGTTTTCAGAGCAGGTAAGTCTCTCATCTATGCACAGTCTCCTTTGTTTTGCATTGGAAGAAAGGCTGGTTTTTAAAAAAACTTCTCCTCCTTGTGCAGGGGGATTTTATTTTGTGCCTCAGCAAGGCATTTATACACCCTCCTGTACCCCTCCTTATTCACATTGCTGCAGTTTGTGTTAAACTTGATGCATTCGTTGTTAGACCCACCATTCATTGACAAGGCTGAGCATGAAATATACTGGAATCGGTTCTTCCAGGTGACAAAATTATTCAAGAAAAATCACGCTACACACACCCTCCGCTTCTTTTAAGAAGCTCTTGTTAGAAGTAGCATGTCTGGTAGGAAAGAAGGGATAGAGGTTGCCTGCTTTAGACACCAGGATTCACTTCTGCCATGATAAAGAACTTAAGCTGACCAGGTCTGATTTTCTGTTACACAGGCACAGATTTGCCCCAAGCCTAGCTTATGTTTTTTAAGTGAAAGTTTTACAGATGGAGCAAGCGCAAGAAACAGAGAGAGAAATTACTTTCTAAATGCATAGCTCTCCACATAACAACATAGCATAGCTCTCTGTATAACAACATATATAATTGTTTCACTTAGAAGCATCTGTGATCCATCTGAATTACACTTACGTGTCCAATTCAGTGCAGATGAATTGGTTTTTCTCACCTTCTCCATCCCTCCATATAAGTTCTTGTACTTGCAAAGGGCAGATGAACGAATGAGCTATTTTGCTTTGACAATGCAAGAGTTTGGGGGACTGAAGAAGAAGATGGATTTATTTTTGACCAGGCATGACTTGTTCAGTAGGTAGGATAGAAAAGCAATTCCTGGTATTGGGTAACTCCTAAGATGAAGAGCCTGCCTGGGAGAGTGACAGGGCAGGCGGGTTTCCCTGTCAATCTAGATAGGACTGGCTGTGGGATTTTCAGGCACTGGGATACCGTGGCCTAGGCAGTGTCATAGAGGATACCTGCTAAATGGTCGTGACCCATGGCTGTATATTGGGACGCCTTTATGAAAGATGCTGATTCTTCTGCCTTAACCTAATGCTGTAGTTTAGGATAATGATGGAGCAGGAGCTGAAGACAGATTTCCTGTTCTATGACCTCTGAGGCAGGGGAAAAGACTAAAAATCTTGACAGTTTCGCTTCACTTGGTGGTTGGTTTGTTTTCCCCTGGCAGCTGTGAACTGTTCAGTAAATGTTCTTCCCTGATTCTATCACCAGGGCCTGGAGATGAAAAGTGGAATGAAGATGCCCACCCCAAAGTCTGCAGTGGCACAGGCTCAAAGAAGCCCCGCCAACGCTAGCAGGATCCCAGCAAAGACTCCCACAGCCCCCAAGACGCCTCCCACCACTGGTAGGAAGGAATGCAAGCTGCATACAGCAAAATCTCCAGTTGGGTTTCCAGCAGTGTCTCGGAGAGGCTGGACTCTGATCCCTAGACTTTGTATTTATTTTGGACCATAATATTTCATAAATCGGCTTGTCTGGAATCTGCATTGTATCTGAGCAGTGCTGTAAATGCCGTGAGTCTTAACACATGTGGAGATGAGATGTGCAGAGAATTTAGCTGTGTTGTGATTTTGATTCATGGCTCCGAGGGTACAGGTAGTGTAATTAAGAGGTGATTCCCCTTTTATCTGGGGAAGATCTGTTTGAGGCTACTGCAGCATCCAGCAATGCAGAATTTCATGCCACTAGATTTAGATTGGGAAGTGATGTGTTTTTTGGCAGTGGATTCCAAGTGAATTATTCAGAATGAATCTCCCCACTATGGTGAAATGTCCTCAGTATCTGAAATGTTGTCACGAGAGAATGTGCCTTGCGTGGTGTGACACGGAGCAGTAAGGAGGATGGTGAGGCAGGAAATAAATGCAGTACTTCACCTACTTGTATCATGCAGTGCTTTAGCTATTGGAGTCTTGTGCAGTACCAAGTGATCTCTAAACATAGAGGCTTCTCCTGTTAGGGCACAGTTTACAGATATGATTTGGTCTTCTGGTCTCTGCATATTTTGGAGAAAGCATACAACTTGTTCACGAGTTGTGGATAATAATACTGATTGCATGGCACTGTGTCATGTACCGAAGGATAGTTTCTAAGGGTGTGAACAGACAGAACAATTGAAACGTTTCCAGGTGAAATGCAGCCAGGGGGACATGCTTGCATTCCCTGTGCTGTTCTCTGGCTGGAATATTTCTGAATGCTGCATCCTTCTCCAGCAGTAGCCAGGGGATGCTAGAGCAGGCTGCTCTCATCTCCCCCTTCCTCCATCCCTCGTAGGAATGGGATCTTGAGGGAAGGGGGAGAGTAGAGAGCTGGAGAGGAAAGGTGTATGGTAGGGGTGTAGGGGGCACAGTAGGAGAGCTCCCAAATCCCCTGAAGTGCTCTCTCTCTCTCTCTCTCTCTCAGAGGACAAGTGTAGGGGAGATTGGAGTTGGTGCTGTCCCTGTCTTAAGTAACCAAAAATGAAACTTTTAAAAAGCACTTCAGTTTGGGAGGTATTATTTTGGAGTGTTTTGGCCACTTCTGGAGCCTTCCAAAGAGCTTGTGCATGTGCATGGCTGGCCCTCTGAAACTTTTCAAAGGCATTTGAAAGTTTTTAATTGCAACATCTGTCTGCACGCTGTGTAATTAAGCCTCATTGGCTATCTGTTGCTTTTGTGTAATCATCTAGATTTAGGATGACAACTGTACCCTTCATCCTCTGAGATTTATAATGCATTGGATGCCTTTTGCTCCAGGTTGGACAACCTAGGCTGCTTCATTTCTTTTAATCCACCTAGCTCTTTTTGATGTTTAAAAAAAGGCCCAGCCATTCACTTCTGGACAAGAGCAGTGTTTAGGATTGGAAGTGTTTTTGTAAATCATTTCCAAGGAGGATAAATTATCCTAACAGCAGTGGGGAATCAAATTGTTGCTCTGAGAGGAACCTCCCAATAGCATAGGACATTATA